CTTCGTGAATATAGCCTTACGCTTCTCCTCCCTTCGGGCACTTTCAATTTCTAAGATCATGGTCTGTAAAAAAAAAGCAAAATTAAGAACGCCCTCGCTGACAAGTCAAAGCACTAAAACAAATCCTAGATTTTGAACATGACGGACAGAAAAAAGAAGCTTTGAAAAACTTACCCTCAGAGCGAGGCCGGCTATACTCCTCGATAGAGTAACATTATCCAGCTCTTTGGGGGTTTCACCCTCCACGTCGGAGCAAAGGTGACCGAGGGTAGGAACTACATTTTCTGTGTTCTTTGATAAATCACGATCCATGGGGATCGCAATGGTCCGTGTGGACCCCTCCAGCCTCACCTCGAGCTGGGTAAATCCTTCATTCATCATCCTCATCTCGGTAGCATCAAGGTGTGAACCCGTCTTGTAGACATCTTCGACAATGCCTTTACCTCTCCCATCGGTCAGCGAAGAAGCATCATCAGTCGGCTGCGAGGTCGATGGCCCTTTCTGCCGCAAAGTATCAGAAGCTACAACGGCCGGCCCTTCAGCTCCCATCATCGCGAATGAAAGAGATACGCCCTCAATAGCCTCCGCCGATCTCAGAACCTCAGACGCCAGCTCGACATCGTCTTCAAGAACAATGGTTGTCGTCTCACAAATGATAAAATCATCCATCACAGGGTTTACGACCCAGCCAACCCCGTCACCAGAGTCCACTGACCTCCTCTTGCGGGGCACTAAATCCTCGTCACTTGGCAATGGTTCCTCCTCTTCATCCACAAGAAGGTATAAAGGGTAAGCCGAAGGCTCCGCTGCGAAAACATCCGCAAACAGAGAAGAAACTGATGCTGAAGCGACAGAAGGCGGGACCGAGGAGCGAGCAGGCCTAGCCGCGATTGTAGAATGGGCATAAGTCAAAGAGGTAGTAGCTTTCCTCCTAAAGAATGCAGGTGGGGAGCTATTGGCCTCCTAGAAGACCCTCGGGCTGAAATGAAAAGAAGCACGAAAGATAAAAGGGGGGAGGGGGTCAACCAGAGTGAACCACAGAAGGCGAATAGCCAATAAACCAAAGCAAAGAAACTCACCGGTCAAGGAAGAGCGGGCCCAAACTTCTTGAGGAAGCCCGGCCATTTGCGAATTCCAACGATGTGCGGGAGGAGCTGGCAACCCAACAGGAAATGTTCTCGACTAAAGGGGGAGGCAGGGTCTTGGCCGTATGAGAAAAGGATGAGGGGTCACAATCAATAACAAAAAAAAAAAAAGAAAACCAAGTATCTACGTGCAAAGGAGCGAGGCACTTACGAGCACAATTCCATGATTCAGGGAAGCCGTCGACACTGGCTACCACGTCTTCAGTTCTGACGAAGAAGAAATTGAGCCAAAACTAGCGGTTAGCCTTATCATCCATTTTCACCACCAGACATCTGCCTCCTCGATGGTGGAGGTTCAGCATCGTCCCTCTGTATAAGCTAGGGGTGAATAAGTGTATCAAGTGTCGAAGCGTGATCACGACCCCGCCAACTCGGTGAACTTAGTGAGCATCCTGATGAGTTTGTAAACATACGGCGCGAGTTGCGCCGGGCAAACACCGTAGAAGCGACAGAACTCCTGCCAAAGGGAGGAGAGGGAAAGTGTAGCCGACATGAATGTGGTAGGCGTAGAATGCACAATACCCATGACGATGGTGTCGTACCTCATCCCATCTGGCGGGATCAACTCGACATGGTCTGGAAGGACATACTTCGCTCTGAGTTCTGACAAATCAGCCTATGTCATCGCCGATTTAAAGTTTCCAAGCTCGACTTCAGGCATCTTCGAAAAGTCAGACCTAACGTTAGGGTTACGAGGAACTATCTCTTCCACAGTTGGGAAGCCTCCATTCTCTGTAGCAGTAGGAATGCTCTTCGAATGAGGAGGCAAGAGAATTGCCAGTGGGACCGGGTCACTTCCCTCACTGGGCCCAGAAGATACATTAGACATATTTGCGACAAAAGGAAGGAAGTCACCGAATAATGGAGAGTCGAAAATGATAGAGATCGTTGGAACTGAAGGAGAAGGGCACAACAACGGGGGAAGAAGAAGAAGATACAGAGTTTTTTATGCGAGGATTTCGTAAAGATTGAAACGTTGCCCACACACCCCTATTTATAAAAATTCAAGCGTCGAAACCAAGGAATTAATCATTACCTGTCACCATAACTGAAACAGCAGATTCAATCAGAAGACGCACGCGAAATGAAGCAACACATTGGGAAATCGCGCCATAATGACGATTGCCACCATGACATCACCCTGATTCGTGGGACTCACAACCCCAGAATTTACGGTTCACAAAGGGACATGCTGCCAACTCGCCCCAATCATCACGACTTAGGTCGTCCAAATATTTCGACCACGTTAGACAGTATCCGCTCATCGTGTCCGTCTGAAGCCGGCCTCAATAAGCGGAGGGACTAACTATATAGGTCAAAATTTGCCCTAGAATATTTAGGGTAAGATAGCATTAAGAAAAGAGTCAGTCGAGGTCGACCAGGAAGCAGCGAGATCCGTGATCGAGATGTCAATAATGGTCGAGGTCGAACACCACTGACATAGCCGTAACAGCTAGTTTTTGAGATATGATATTAAAGAGAATATTCTAGTAGATATTCTCTGCACTTGTACTATTAGGGTTCGTTTGGGAAATGTCTCATATAAATAAAAAAAGAGACAATGGGGTAGGGCAGGTGATATTCATTTGTAACAACACACTTTGACAAAAGATTCTCTCTCTCTCTTACTAAGATACAAACATCACCTTTTTCACCAAGATTCTTATCTACGTCATTCCATACTTTTCACCAGATCCGAGGATAATTTGAGCATTCGAGGTTTGTCTGTCATTCATCATTGTCAGGAGGAATAACACCTAGTTCCTCCTTTATTGAGTGAATCATTCCTTTTATTTACTTGAATGCCATTTATTATTGTTTGTTGCTATTTAATGCTCTATTATTGCCCACGTTACTTGGAATGATTGTTGCACACCATCATTACATTTCTACCAGATCTGTCCAACATTAGTTACGTTTTCGGAACTCACGTCTAGGAATATTATTGGCAACTAGGTTTAATCCCTTAACACATAAATTTAATTATTTGAGCTAGGAGTTACACTTTTTGGTCAAACAATGTGTTGATAAGGTTTTGCCAATACATTAGTGGATAATGCAGTGACGAATCATGATTATTGTATTCATTAAATTAGAATTAGGTAAAGCCATAAAAGATAATATGGGGAATGTAACGTTTTTCTTGTTTATGTCAAAGTTTTGGAGTATTTCGTTTTGGTCTATGTGGCTAGATGAGTTATGGTGGTACTCCATCAGTTCTTGCAATAAATGCCAAAACGTGCATGTACTTCTTCTGATCTTTAAAAACCTGAATAACAAGATTTTTATTGAAAGAATCCTCTGACGAACCACATGGGGTCTTTTGAGCCACGTTTTTTCAATTTGGTTTCACTCAGAAAGTGAAACTACGGTTCGTGGCTTCGTGCACCTTGACTGTATCTGCATGTACAAAGAAGTAAATGGTTGAAATGAAGATATGAATCACTTAATAAAACGAGGACATGACTTCAGATACAAAACCGAAATTTTAAGGAGTTAAGCACATGTTAAACTTAGGTAATCCAATGTTAGATAAACATAATCCTAAGAGGATTGTCAAGCTGGCACTTGAATACCCTGATTAGTCTTGAAGTAAATGAATAAAATAATAAAAGGACTAAAAACTAACGCCGTTGCCGGGGATCGAACCCGGGTCACCCGCGTGACAGGCGGAAATACTTACCACTATACTACAACGACCTTGATGCTTACTATTTCCCCCAAACTGTAATTATCACTATCTTCCATGCAAAGATTACATGATTCAGTACCAAGTAGTACGTATAATGCACTTGCTTGAGAAATACAAAAGTCATATAACTTATGAATGAAGGCTTTTGCCGATATACACAAATTATATGAATCTCCACAGTTTTGTTTTTCCGTATTACTATTAGATTAGTTAAAATAGCACGGTATAGCCAGTTTTCAGACTGGTCATTCAAAAATAGCCAGCGTTTATCAAGTCAATGAAAAATAGCCACTATTTTGCTGCAGCAGAGACCGGTCCAGCATAATATACTGGAGTTCGATGCACCTGTGTATGAACTCCAGCATATTATGCTGGACCGGTATACTTTGCTGGCTCCAGTATAATATACTGGAGACTGGAGCACCGGTGCTCCAAACTCCAGTATATTATGCTGGACCGGTATACTTGCTGGAACTCCAGTATATTATGTTGGAGTTCTAGTGTACTTATGCTGGAACTCCATCATATTATGCTGGAGTTCCAGCATACTTATCTTGGAACTCCAGTATATTATGCTGGAGTTCAAGTAAACTTATGCTGGCATATTTTCCGGGTTTTGAACAGTGTTTTCGCTCAGATTTATCTTTACATGAAAAGTGACTAAATATCGATTACTTTTGAAATTGGGCTATTTTTGAACGACCAGTTGTAAATCTGGCTATTTTTGAATTTCACCCATTAGATTATGCTCTTGCTACAGTAGGCATTTGAAACTAGTACATACATTAGATTATGGTCTTGCTAGAGTAGGCAATGAAACTAGTACATAGATTCAGTACCATATTTCTCTTACAATTACTGTAATTGTACATCCAGAAATGCATACTTGTGTGAATACCAGCTTCTATTTTGAATGTGAATCTCTTCCTCAGGCTTGCTTAAAATTTCATCTGCGCAAACACCTTATTAGTTACCTTGAAATTTTCATTCTTCTACTTAGTACAAACATTGCATCAACTCCTTGGAATTGGCATGTGAGCAAACAACAGTCAACTTGTAAGCCATTTTAAGGTTCAAATCCCACAGGGATAAGCCATAAAGATTTTCCTTAAATCCCATAATCTCGGTGTAAATCGCCTGCCTTAGACCGGACTGCGGAGGAGTAAAAAAACAGAAATTGATGAAAAAATGATAATATCTTACAAATGTTTTCCACTGAGAAAAACTGAAGGCCACTACAATGAAGGGGAAGAAATGATTCGCTACATTCCGCTAAATATCAACCACTTGTCTGAAGACGGTTGACTCATCAAAAAATACAGAGCCAGACACTAGAACTTAGCAACTCTGGCTTCTATTACAAAGGCTCAACTATGAATAACCTTCAATCTTGAAAACTTACTTTTCCAGTAGAAATTGAAAACATAGCGATTTTTCCGCTTCTAGGCTACCAAGGAGCATTCAAGAACTCGGAGAAGTTTGACTTGAATGTATGTACTCCATGAAGAACGCGGATTGAACTTTTATAGCAAACAACCATCCGTCGTGAGCATATAATGCAAGCTATCCATCATTCCTACTGTTTTGACATTGGCCGTTGCAACGAGATCTCTGCATTTTGAGGTACCAAACAGTTAGAGTACAGTTAGAGTAACCTGCTTCTGGAGGAGAAAGTTTCAAGTGAAATTAATCTCAAATAAGATTATGAAACATTAGACGAGCAGATGAAAGTTATCTCTACTTATTTTTACTCATAAGTAAACTGCCAAATTAAATTCAGAAAACAACAAAGCAACCCCAACTGTAAAAACAGAAAGAAGGAAAAAATATCAAAAACCTTCCCAGTCAAATTGAAAGAGGAAAACAAGCAAGTAATTTGTAGGCTGAATTTAAATAATGTACCAATGATGTACGCACCAAAGGCAGAACTGGTCAGCTGACATTTCAAGCCACCTGGAACTTCCTTGAAGTCTATAAATATCTACGTTCAAGCAATCGCCAATGATAAAACCATCTGAATTCATCGATCCATTGCACAGTTCATGAACCTTATATAAGCAAATAATACATGAAGAAGCTTCATCTAACAAGTATTACTCAGGAGAAAAGTGATAAGGCGAGAAAAGCATAACTTTCATGCCTCTTGCATCTTCTGCAGGAAGGATAAAACCAACACAGGGATACCTTCAGGATACCATATCACTGGACTGAAAATTCTGAATAAGAGGCGTTTCTAACCAGATGCATTATTTTTCTTTTTCCTTACTAACAAAATATCTTGAATCCTGAAAATGAAGAGGTTCATTCCCCCAAGAAGTCCAGCCGGGTATCATTTCTCTAGCAAATAGTTCAATGCAACGAGCAGGCCTAGACCCCGGCACATAATCCAGAAGCAGCTCTAATTCATGTGGGCAATGGTAGGAGGAAAATTCTCAGAAATTATCAGACAGCAAATCCAGCAGTAAATGAGAGAAAATCAATAACATGAAGAAAAGAAAGGCACAAAGAGAAACTACATTATTCAAAAGGAAAAAAGAAATATTCAAATGAGAACCCGAAAAGATTACCTCCAAGGGGGGGTTTCCTTGAATAATCACCAGGAACACTCACGAATACTCGATTATCTGGTATAGGATTCAGTCTTGTTATATTGTCAGAATCGGTCTCCTGCAAAATCACGGGGAATTGAAGAAAAGAGTTGCTTCAACAAAGGCACCTCTAAGGCATAAGAAAAGCTAACCTTTCCGTCACAGTATCCTAGAAGAAGGCATTCATATGGCCGATGATGAAAGAGGTCCAATTCACCAGTCATCATCCCATTTGCCTTAACCTGTAACAAATATCAACTTAGATACCTTAGCACATATCTTCATTCAATATACATTGTTCAGGCTCCTCTCTCCCGGAGTAGTAGATATCTTAAGGGTCTACATAAGCTGTGTAAGAAATGATACCTTCAACCAGTAAAAGCTAGCTGCATATTTTACTCCCCATTTGGGAAATAAATCATTCTCCACAAAACCTCGCAACTTTTCCCTGTTGGTAACCCACAATGCAACAAGTGCTCCATAGGTATGACAAAGTTGCTTGACGGGGAGAGATAAGAAGTATCGGTTAGGCAAAGTTGGGTACCTGCAACCACATGGAATTGCATATTGAATTGAAGCAATCTACAACACAGACCTTTACGCCTAATAGTTTGAGCTTCTAATATACAAAGCAGATATAAATTGACCCGTTCTAATCACTTGCAGGAAATTCAAACTTATAATATCTGTTTCATTCAACTACCATCCGATGTCTACCACACTCCACCTCACCCCAAAATTTAAAGAGAATTTCCCTGTAGGGTGTACAGGATATGCATTGTTTCTACAACTGACATTCTTCAAGAAAAAACTTTGCAGAGAGTGGAATCCTCGAAAATAAATGCAAGGCAAGACTAGCAAATAATCTAGAAGCAAGAGAGACAAATCTCGGGAAGGATTAACACACCTCAGTTTCTGATGAGCGCTGCCATTTTCCCAAGGGGGATCTATGACTATGAGATTGAAGCCACAATCAGAATCAGCTGTAAGAAGAAAACACCACTCGGAGTTTAAGCAGCAGCTCCAGAATTCTAACTTATGCAATAACCATGAAAACTAGTACTCCATGGAGTAAGATATATGGCAAGAAATGAGGATTTCTGCCTTTAAGTTGGCTACTTCCCAGTACATTGTAGGTCCATATAAATGGAATTTAATAAGCATTAGCTCTGGACAGTACGTCCACCCTCAAACACAAGAATAAAGGATCTTGGCTCATTACCTGAGATTAAGTTCTCAATCTGCCGCAAATCAGACTTCAATGCAACAAGAACAATAAAGGCAAAAAGTCAGATTTGTAAACAAAGCAGATAAATTAGATTCAAAGAAACAAAAAGCATTAGAAAAAAATATTGAAAGCCATTAGTAAAACCCAAATGATTCTGGATTAGAAATTTTCATGAAGGGAAAAAAAAAAGGCTTTCTTAGAAACAACTAAAGAAGCATCTGCCATGTATCATACCATATAGAAACAACTCCTTTTGGGAATAATAAACTTGTGGTTAAAAAGCTCAGCCTCTATATCACAGCTTCCCTCATTGGCGACTAGATTACTAAATACAGGGGTCACTCTTTGCTCAATACTCTGAACAAGTGTTGAACCTGGAAACCACGCAAGACAACTAGAATACATAAGCTTGCTAGGATCGCAAGAAATATGCTAACAAATTACTAAAAAATTGTATCGAAATGCATAAAGGGCGAGCCTTGGCGCAACAATAGAGTTGCTCCATGACCAGTAGGTCAGCGTATCAAGGCATGGAAACAGCCTCTTTTGCAAAATCGCAAAGCGAAAAACTGACAATATCCGCCCACCCTTAAGCCCTTTTGTATTTGAAAAAAACTCTTGTAACTAAAGCAAACCTCCATTGTGGAAAGTTTTATCATCTTGATGATAATTGAGAGCAATCTCATACAATGGAGCTTGCCAAACACTTCCGAGCTCCATAAACGAAAGCTCACTACTTTCCTCTGACAACTCCTTGCATTCCCCCACAGCACATCCATCATTCCTTAAATTCCTCAAAACTTTCAAAAGATCAGTAGCTTCAAGCAGAGTTTTATGCGCTTTCAATAATAACGGCTTCACCTCCTTCAACACAAATAAAAACAAACAAATATTTATTGATCAAAATCTCACACTTAATGCACAGAAAATAAGCAGCTCCATATTATACATACAAGTTAAGATTTTTTAAAATGTAAAAAAGTTAAAGGTACCTGATGACGACGATCAGCGCTTTGTTCGCGTTCATTGAGAGATTGAAGCTTTTTCTTCTGTTTACGTTTTCGTTTTCTAGAATCTTCGGAAGCTTTTGGAACTTGTTTTGAGTTTGAGGAATCGAAGAAGCGAGAGTAGTACGTAGAAGGCGAAACCCTAAACCGGGTGTAAGAACGGTTGAGAATTCGAACCGGGTCGATAAAGAAGGCATTTGAGGTTAACTGATAAATGCCGGATTCTGAAAACAATTGCAATTGATTGTTTTCCATCTACAGAATTTGGGAATTTTTCGGTTTCGGAAGTGACAGTGGTTGTTTGTTCATCGGTCTAATGCCGGCGGGAAACGGGAAAGTTTGCTTTGCATTATGGTCCCCATTTTTGCTCCTATTTCCTATTAAGTCCCAAAATAAAGTTCTCTTTAACCTCGGGGCTCACCTCTTCTTTTTCTCATTCCCTTTACGTAATTTTCTAATGACCATTAAATAAATAACAATTCGGGGTGTGTTTGTTACGAAGGAAAATTTTCTAATTTTTTCATGATTGGTTGGCTTAGAATATTTTTTTCTTATGAACTCATTTTCTTTCAATTGGAGAAAATATTTTCCTTATCAAGAGAAAGGAAAATATTTTCCAAAACTTCTTCTCAACCTTCCCCGCCATATTCCCCACCCTCACCGACCCACCTCACACCCCCACACCCACCAACACAACCCTAACCCTTCTCTCCAAAAAGTTTTTTTTTTTCAAATTTCTTTATTTTTTTGGGGAAAAGGTACTAATATACCCCTTTACTTCGATAAATAGTACATTTCTCTCCCATGTTTAGGGGTGTTCGCGGTTTGACGGAAAATCGATCCAAACCGAAAACCGAACCAAACCGATTAAGTAAACCGATATTTTTTTTGATTTGCATTGGTTTTGGTTTTAAATTTTAAAACCGATAATATTTGGTTTGGTTTTGGTTCTATTTTAAAAAATCAAAAAATAAACCGAACCAAACCTATTAATTATATACAAAATTTAATAATTATTTATATACAATATAATATCTTTTTGTTAATAATTTTAATTGTTATTTTGAATTTTGGTTTATCCTGTTATATCTTAAAAGATTGCCTAAGCCCATAACAATAGGATTCGACCAATTTTCTTTTCATTAATAGACACTAATTCTCTAACCCCGCACATACTTTTGCCTAAAAGAAGAGGTAAAAAAAAACCACCACAAGAGTAAAGAAAGCACATTCAAATTGCAAGACAACAATGGCTAAAGCTTGAGAAAGCAACCTTATAGTTTGTTTTTTGTTCATTCTTTTCATATAAACATGTAAATAAACTTTCAGTTCTCAACGAAATATATAAAAAGCATAAATTTGGCAAATTATTTTCAGATTGTTGTCTAGCGTTGCTTTAATATTATCGACTTATCATTAGCTTACTAAGAACCGAAAAACCGAACCAAACCAACAACAATCAAACCGATGGTTTGTATTTAATTTGGTTTGATTTTGGTTTTAAAATTTTAAAAACCGATTAAATTGGTTTGGTTTTGGTTTTAATCAAAAACCGACCAAACCGAACCGTGAACACCCCTACCCATGTTATACTATCAGGCCATTTAAAGGCCTACCGTTAGAAAAGTGGGTAAAATTATCCTTATTTTTAACCCTTGTCCAACTAAGGAATTAAAACGCCACCTGGAATGCCACGTTGGACAGATCTGACCCAAGCCCTTTTAATATAACCCGTAACCCATGACCCGTAACCCGTTTCAACCATTACATAAATAGTTTATTACCCGTTTTTAATCAACAAAAGGGTCATTTTATCGTTTAGTTGAGAGAACGACGGTGAGGCGATTTAGGGTTCCTCCTATATGTATCAATTTCCTTCCAGATTTTCTATAAAATCCTTCAAAGGTATAGTTTTTTTCTTGATTCTATTAAACTTGGTTGTTGTTATTTCTCCTATTTGCTTTTTTTTTTTTGCTGATATTAATCTTCTTTTTACTGAAGGCGATTTAGGGTTTCTTGTTAACCTTTATAGTTTAGTGTTTGCATGTGTGTGTTTTTGGTTGTAGTGAGTCTCCATTATGTAGATGGTGTATGAGGGTTTATTTTTTGTATAGTCAAATGTAGTGTAGGATTTAATGTGGGACTGCATTGTATCTATTTTTGGAGAAAAGAGGTTTTTATTTCTAAAGATGATTGTATATGGTCCCCCAAGTGGGACATTTTTGTGTTGTTCCTTTATTAAATGCGGTACATTTTTGTTGTTTTCTTTAGAATTTTTGGTCCACCATAATATTTGTTTAATAATGTCGAGGCTCAACTATATCTTTCAATGTATGGGAATACATTAAAGTGTCTATTAAATTCTGTTAGCCTTTGTCTGACTCATGTGTCTGCCGTTTATTGCTTTATGCTATTTTGTCTGATTTATATGGGAATGCCCTTTATTATATTCAATGTTTGGGAATACATTAAAATTTGTACTATTATATTGAATTCAGTTAAGGTTGTATTATTATATTCAATTCTGCCCTTTATTGCTTTGTACTTTTTGTTCTGATTCGTATCCTTTTCCTCTTTATTATATTCAATTTTGTTTACCCTTTTCTCTTATTTATTTTGTAGGTTAAGATGGTTAATGTGGACTTGTTATTTAATTATGGAGGTGACTGAAAAATTATGCCAACATTAGTATATACAAGAAATTTGGCGCACACTTGGAAACAGTATGATTCTGACCTTATCAATTCTTGAATGGTGCAAAAAAGTGTATTGTTGATTCTAATGGACAAGATGGTTATGATGTGAATGAAGGAACTTCTGAAAAGCATAAAGTGAACATTTTACTGAAAAAATGCACTTGCAGAACATGGGACTTCACTAGAATCCCATATCCTCATGCTATTAGAGCATTACTGTACAAAAAAATGAACCCTTTGTCCGAGATTCATTGGCGGTTCACCAAGGAGGCTTATCTCTCCACATATGCACATAAGTTAGAACCAATTAGAGGAGAGAAGTTCTGGAAGATAGAGCCAACTCATGTAATGGAGCCACCCCTGCTAGTGAATATGCCTGGTAGGCGTAAAGTGAAGAGGACAAGAGAAAAGAATGAGACAATAAATGGGCAAGGGGAGTGGTCTCAATCCAGAAAAGGCATGGTGATGTCTTGTTCCACATGTGAAAAGCCTGGGCGTAATGCTAGGGGATGTCAAAAGGTATCCAGACACCCTTACTATATTACTTCACTAAATTAATATACAGTCCTAATTTTGTTACTTTATTACGTTGACAGCAAAGCAAGGGAATGTAACGACCCGACCGGTCGTTTTAAGCAATTGCACTTTGCTCGGATATTTGAGGGCATGAGTAGCCCCGTATGATATAATATGACTTGTGTGAATCATCGGTTTTAGTTTTCAGGTTATTCGGAATTGATTTGGAAGAATGATCCTCAATTAGAAGCTTTAAATTTGAAAGGTCTGACCAAGTTTTGACTTTTAGTATTGGACCTCGGATTGGATTTTCGATGGTTCTGTTAGCTCCGTTGGGTGAATTTGGACTTAGGAGCACGTCCGGATCGTGATTTGGAGGCCTGTGGTAGAATTTGACTTGAAATGGCGAAAGTTGGAATTTTGGAAAGTTTGACCGGGAGTGGACTTTTTGATATCGGGGTCGAATTTTGATTCCAAAATTTGGAGCAGGTCCATAATGTCTAATGTGACCTGTGTGCAAAATTTGAGGTCAATGGGACGTGGTTTGATAGGTTTCGACATCGGTTGTGGAAGTTGAAGTTTCAAAGTTCAATGATTTCGAATTGAGGTGTGATTCGTCGTTTCGATATTGTTATGTGTGTTTTGAGGTCTCGAGTAGGTCCATGTGATGTTATGTGACTTGTTGGTATGTTCGGACGGGGTCCCGAGGGGCTCGGGCGTGTTTCGGATTGATTTCAGATCATTTTCTTCAATATTGCTATTGCTGGTTCTGGTGTTCCTGCATCTGCGGAAATATGGGCACAGATGCGGACAATTGGGCACAGAAGCGGATGGTTACGCAGGTGCGATGGGCTGTTCCGCACCTGCGGTTGTGCAGATGCGGGGGAGAGGACCGTAGAAACGGATTTTACCGCAGAAGCGGGATTTTGGTCGTTTCTGCGACACTGCGGATGCGGTTAAGTGTCCACAGAAGCAGAAGTGCTGTGCAGAATGATAAATACAAGGGTTCGCGATTTTGGCTTCATTTTAACATTTCCAAGCTCGGATTGAGGCGATTTTTGGAGCAATTTCACCATATGAATTGGGGTAAGTGTTCTCTACTCGGTTTTGGTTATATTCCATGAATCTATCTTCATTTTTGGCAATTGGTTGATGAATTTTAAAGTGAAAGTTGGGGGGGGGGGGGTTGCCTAAAGTTTCATAGTATGAATTTTTAAGTTTTGAACACCGATTTGGAGTCAGATTTTAGTGAAACTAATATGGTTGGACTCGCAATCGAATGGGTTATCGGATTTTGTGAGTTTGGTCGAGTTTTGAGGCGTGGTTCCGGGTGTGATTTTTGGCCGGATTTGAGATTTGATGTAGAATTCGATCTTTATCTATTGTAATTGCTTCCTTAGTGTCACGACCCTAAAACCGACCCGGTCGTGATGGTGCCTATCGTGGAACTAGGCTAGCTGACACAACTCCCAAATTAACCATTATTCAATAAAAGTAATTTTTATACCATTTATTAATCAACGATTTCATGATGTAAGTCTAAATGAATAGTGCGGAATAAATACACAAGCCCGACATCAGGGTGTCACTAGTCATGAGCCACTAAATACAATTCAACACTGTCTGCTTGATACAATATAGGCCTGAAATATAAAATAATAAGGATAGGTAGGGGAAGGCAGGACTGTGAATGCCGTGCAGCTACCTTACTATCTCCATTGAACCTGCCACCGAGCTCAGAAATGTCTGGATCTGCACACAAGGTGCATGGAGTAATGTGAGTACGCCAACCCAGTAAGTAATAAAAGTAAATAATGACTGAGAATAAGAAATCACGTAAACCACGTCATAGCACCACAGTGGGTATAGTATGTTTCCAAAACAGGATACCAATCAAATTGTCACGTTAAAACTCCGATTTCAGTAAAAATCCTTTGAAAAATGTCTTTCTAACAGTTCAGTAGAGGTTCAGCGTAGTTCATAGTGAAAGTGATAAAAATCATAATCGGCCTCTCGGGCAAAACGTAGTTCGTATACAGCCCCTCGGGCAAAACATAAAGCATATACATCTCAAACAGGAAAGGTGCCAGAGGAAATAACAAAGCCAAATCAGTGATCAAATTCCGAACATCTCGTAAAAACTCCAGTTTCAATAAAAATTGTTCAAGACATTTGTTTAACATTTTCTATAGAGGCTC